CCCCCCCCCCCCCCCCCGAAAAAAACATAAAATTGTATGGGTAATTCTGTAGGCCCTTAAAGATTGGCCTTGGCATCAACATAGCCCCAAAGCCTCAGAGAATAGGGTCTTTGGGCCCGAAAATATGAGTCCTTTGAGGGCCCTAAACCCTAAACCCNNCCTAAACCCCTAGACCTTAAACCCTAAATTCTGGTAAGGGATATTGCTGGTCCGAAGCTGACAGAGGCTCATGCGCTGTAATGCTGTCCCAAAGGTTCCTGCGTAGCTACATGAGGGATACCTGGGGCTTAGGGTTTAGGGTTGAAGGTATAGGGTTTAGGGTATAGGATTTAGGGTTTAGGGTATAGGATTTAGGGTTTAGGGTTTAAGGTATATGATTTAGGGTTTAGGGTTTAGGATTTAGGGTATAAGGTATAGGATGCAGGGTTTAGGGTATAGGATTTAGGGTGTAGGGTGTAGGATGTAGGGTTCAGGGTATAGGATTTAGGGTTTAGGGTATATAGGATATAGGGTTTAGGGTATAGGATTTAGGGTTTAGGGTATAGTAGTATGCTCCTATTGTAGAGACCCTCCATTCTAGTATATAGGACCCTTTGGGTGTGTTGCAGGGAGTCCGCCCTGACTACAACGTGCAGTATTGACAGATGAGGCCCGAATGGAACAACATCTGTTGAGCTGACATGACCAAGAGCCATCTCCGAAAATCCCAGTTGGACCAGTGGCGTGCATCCAAGAGAGCCCTACCGAACCGTTAGTTTGGGGTTCATAGGGTTCGGGTTCGGGGCTACATGACGCCAAGATAAGTAGAATATCTTGGAGTGCTGGATGACTCTGGATATGCAGCAGGAAGCCTCCAGAAAAAATATAACCAGACTGCGCTGTTGCATCTGCGATGAGCACCTGCAACGCTAAAGTGAACGCATCTCGCCGACTTCAGGTCGGGCAGGGGCTAAGCATTATGTTCCTGGCGCCAGCAGCTATTGTAGATGCTGGCCACAAGCTCCGAAATCGGCCGAAGTCGTGCAAAGGCCCGGGCCATAGAACTTTGCCTCTCTCGGTGCAAACACAAATGCTAGCAATCGCTGTCAGTCACAGCTGGTTTGCCGCCGCGCAGTGACAATGTCACTGAACACTTTCGGATGAACTTCGACTTCTTTCCTGAACTTGTTCAAGATCTTCAGGTGGTTTTGGTGCATGATCCGATTCCTAAGTCAGACGTGTCACTCGTCACGGTCGTGGCTTCATGACTTGGCCCAACAACTGACTGCAAAACCCGAGTGATCGCCTCTATCCTAAAAACCTCCGTAGTCCTTAATACAAAATCCATCCATCCTCACAGCTGGCCGAGTGTCGGCGGAAGAGGTGTGCCTTTCCTCAGGATTTGCTTCAGAAATCCAGAAGAGCATCGTGCACGTATAGCACTTCTTTCGCGGGGTAAGGTTTAGCGCCCTAAAGACGAGGCAAACCTGCAACGACTCACCTTTATCCGAATCTGTCCGAAGACATGATAGCCTAAACCCTAAACCCTAAACCCTAAACCCTAAACCCTAAACCCTAAACCCTAGAATCCGGAACCGAAAAGCTCCAAAGCTTGAAGCTTGGCATCTTTGGTGGCTGAATGACATACATTCGGCTCTCAACTGACTGTCTACCCCCGGCAAAGACCCAGATCTCCCACCTCTCAAACCCTACCTGTTGCAGACCATAAGGGTTTAGGGCTTCGGGCCTAGGGTTTAGGGTTTAGGGTTTAGGGGTTCATACAGCTCATACGGGACCCATACCCTAAACACTAAACCCTGAACCCCTAAACCCAAAACCCCTAATTAAACCCCTGAACCCTAAAGCCTGAAACATGAAGCCGAAATCCGAAGCCACCACCCTCAACCCTAACTCTGGATCCGAAGTTGCTAAATCCTACTAAAGACATCCATCGCTTTAGGATCGAAGTTTAGGGCTTTTTAGGACTAGGGTTGCGGGTTTAATTTCGCGATCTATCTATCTATCTATCTATCTATCTATCTATCTATGGCGGCTTGGGCCCTCTGGGTGCAGTCTTCAGGAAAGCGGAACATCAGGGCCTGACGTCCCTCACCCTCGTCCGCACCTGTAAATCCTAGGCCCTCAAACCTACCCATAGGTTCCACAGTAGTTCCTTTTGGGGACTACCTTACAGAATCCTAAGTCTAACCAGAAAGAGGAACTACTATGGAGGCTATGGGTACACACAGTAACCTATCGAACTTAGCCTAACATCCTGCAAAACCTGCCCCTTCTACATGCTGTAAAGAAATGCTATATCCATTAAACTCGACGAAAACCGCTCTAACTTCTTCGCCCCTTGACAAGAGAACCCGTTGTAGAGCTTCAGCGAAGCCCTAAATCCATAAACCGACCTTAAGCCGTAAAAACCTCATCCTCAAAACATGTTAAATCAAAACCCTCAGTCTCAGCTCATTGTTTCTTAGGGGCTCCTTGATTATAGTATACTATACCCCAAAGCCTATTCTGATCATTACACCTCAATCAGCCAAGCTTCGGAAGATCCCTCCAAGAGGCCGAATCCCAGGAGGACTCAACCCACAAAGGAGGCTTCTGCTGCATGGAGGTCGCGCAAAGCTGCTTGGTCCTTGCTCGTCAGAGCGGGGCTATATGGGTGGTTGTCAAAATTATGGTCCCTTTTTGGGTCCTTATTATAATACGGCACCTATTATTTAGGGTACCCCAAAAGGGACCCTAATTTTGACAACTACCCATATGGTTTCGGGTTGAGGCTTAGGGTTTAGGGGATCTCTATTCAACGTGATGTGATACAAGGCTTGATGATGTAGGGGTGTTATTGACATATGGTGCCCCTCGCCCTGTCAAGGTTCTTTCGGGCTCAGGGTTTGGAGTTTAGGAAGTCAGGGTGTAGGGCTTCGGATGACTTCGGTCTTGGCTCCCCTCATATCACTACACTTAGTTTACGACCTGTGGCTGGCAGAAAAACCTGATCACTTCCTCCAGATGCAGTGAGAATCTAGCAAAAGGGTTAGGGCTTGCACGGCTTTGGGTGCGACCTTCTCACTCAATTCCTTACTTCTCGAGTTCCTTCTTCACTGACGTGATGGGTTGTGATGATTGTCCAAAATTCTAATATTCTAGTGTCAGGGGGCACTCAGGCTTAAGGGTTCGGGGCATAGGTTTGCCGGTTGAGGGCAAAGAGGAAGTACGGCAGCTGCTTTCGGCGCATACTTGGACTCAAGGCCCATGCTTTTGCACACTCCCGCTGTGGCTTCGTGCTCGAAATATCCTCAAAGTCTTCACGGCACCACACTATTCAGCCTCTTGAGCTCGTCCGTATGATCCTCTTAAACTGCCATTGTCGAGTGGTGCTATTCTGGCCTTCGGCCAAATCCACCGGTAGTGCGCTGGCGGTCGTGATAGTGCTGGTGGTCCTGGCGGTCGGTGGTCGTGGTGGTCCTCGCGGTCCTAGTTGTCTTGATCCGCACGGTGCGGGATTTGGGGCGGATGCGTCTCGACACTGCTTGGCGGCCTGGATTCTTGAATGAGGATGCCTAAACCTCCGATGCAGTTGAATTTGCTTGACTGGTCAGCCTTACAGTAGGGCCACGCTAACAGCAAAGATCGGCAGACCCAACTTTACGACCCTAATTCCCCGAAGTTCATATTGAACTAAAACACCATAACGGTTCCAAGCATCGTAGACAGCTTCTGGCCCAGGTGCGGCTGTCTCTGCTGTGCCTGCATGCGCGGGTTCAGGGCCCAAAACGGTAAAGACGGTTTAGGGTTTCGGCTTTACCCATAGTCTCCATAGTAGTTCGTTTTCGGGATTACCTCATAGAATCCTATGGAGCCTATGGGCAGTGAAAAAAACGCAAGGCCAAACCCCAAGCGCCCAAGACCTCAATCCTACACCTGAGCTGCACCGAGCTGTCAACCGCACCCGCATGCTGCACGCGCTAATATCGGGGCCTTACTAATTGGAAAAGGGTTTAGGGGTATATTATGCTATGACTATACTAAGGAGCCCCCAAAATAGTATTGGAAATTCACCTGCCTTGAACCCACTGCCCAAACCCAATAGCCCTAAACCCTGAATCCCAAGGCCAAATTTTACGACATCGAAACTGCATACACAAACACCACAGCTTCAGCAAAACAAAGAATTTAGGGTTTAGGGGTTAGGGTCCGACCCTAAACCCTAAACCCTAAACCTTATACCCTAAACCCTAAACCCTAAACCCTAAACCGGTTCAGGGCGGACCTTCTTGGGGCTCTTTGGGGCTCAGTGAAAGGCCTGGGCTGCCTTTGAAGCTTGGCCCTTTGATTTGGGATTAGGGGTTTAGGGGTTTAGGGTTTTAGGGTTTTAGGGTTTAGGGTTCAGGGTCCCGATTCACCAAGCCTTCCTTCAGGGTTTGCATCGATTTCTGGGTTTGCATCGATTTGTTTAGGTTTTTTGGGGGTATATAGGTTTTGGGATGTAAGGGCATCATACGGTTTCTATACAGGGTTTAAGCCCTTTCGGATTTAGGGCTTAGGAGTTTACGTGAAACAGGGGCCCTTAATGAGTTGTTGCATATTATACTGTAGTTATAGAGAGCCCCTCAAAATAGTATAAGCACCTATTAATGAATTGCCGCATATTATTCTAGTATCGTTATAAAGAACCCCTCAAAAGAGCAAAAGTACGTTTTAAGGCCTCTTTGCTACACTTTTTTGGGGGGGCTGAGGGCTCTGCCTCCCTAAGCCCTAAACCCTAAACCCTAAACCCTTTTGGGGGGCTGTGGGCTCTGCCTCCCTAAACCCTAAACCCTAAACCCTTTTGGGGGGCTGTGGGCTCTGCCTGTGCACTGGCATCTTGAGGTTGGATCGGGATCCCTGCTGCGCAGCCCATGGCTCACTGAGGAGATCCTAAACCCTCCCTAAACCCTAAACCCGAAACCCTCAACCCGAACCCTAAACCCGAAACCCCAAACCCTGAATCCTAAACCCGAATCCCTTAAGCTTAAACTTCTAAACCCTAAACCCTAAACCCCGAAACCCCAAAACCCGAAAGCCCTAAACCCCTAATCGGCCGAGAGGAGACTCCGACGATTCCCGCGCCCTCCTCAGGCTCGAGCCCGAAAAATTGCCGCCGCTGCGTTCTTAAAGGCTTAGGGGTTTAGGGTTTAGGGCGTTGGGTTTGGGGCTTAGGGTTTGAGGCTTAGGGCTTTGGGCTTTGGGTTTAGGATTTAGGATCAGGTGCCCGGCATCCACCCCCCAAACTCAGAGGGTCCCAAGTACCTGTATCGTAGAATGTAGGGTTTCTATTCTTGGAATCGCCATTCTGGTTTGGGCAAGTACTTCTCATGCTGCTGCTACTCTGATGACTTGTCACTTCCTGGAAAATTGTGGCATGCTGCGTCCCTACCTGGGCCCTGCCACTGCGAAGTTGCTCTGATAACATGGCTGTTAGTGATGATGCTGATAAAAACGCCGGAGGTGAAGATGGACGCTAGCAAATGTCGCTCTCTCTCCCGGTCTGCTCAGCTCTTCAGTACCTCGCCTGACAGAATCCTAGGCTCCACCTGCCGTCTCTCTAACTCAGACCCTTCACCAAAGCACAAGCTGTAACCCTCAACCCACGCAACAGGAACAGTCAGGACAAAACTAAAACTCAACAGCCATATTCCTTAACCCTAACATCCAAACCCCTAAAAACCCAAAAGGAACAAGACGCGGCCATACGATCCTCCCTCCAGGCGCTCAACCCTAAAATTCTAAATCCGAAATCCCAAACTTCGAAACCCCAAAACCATCAAACGGCCTCGCATTCCTCCCTCCAGACTCGCTGGCCCAGGAGATGTTTGTGGATGAGTCCAAAGAGACCGAAGATCACAGCCTCTTTCTGTTTGCTTACTTTTAAGCAAGCTCATTTTAGGTTTACGGTTTAGGGTTTAGGGGTTTAGGGGGGTTAGGGGTTTAGGGGTTTAGGGTTAAGGGTTTAGGGTTTATGGCTCCTTTTGGAGTTGCCTTACAGTGGGAGCGAATAGGCTTACGGGTTATAGGTATCTAATTTTGGAGTTGACTCGGGCTTTTCCAGAGATGGCTCAAGCCGTTCTTCTCGCTTTGACTTTGTAACAAAGAAGCCAATTGGGTAGTTTTCTAAATTAGGGTTCCTTTTGGGGTCCGTTTTATAAGGGTGCCGTACTATATTGGGGACCCAAACAAGGACCCTAATTTAGCGAACTACCCAATTAGCAGACCGCCAAGTTCAGATTCAACAAGAGGTGGGAGGCCAGCTCTTGCATCTGAGAGCGGCATTGAATTGAACGGCCCCTATCGAACGTTTGCGTGCGCACTGAATCTCGAACTGGAAACCCAACTCAATCACCAGCCTTGGACAACCTCTATTGACTCTTGAGCCCAGGAATAGGAGAGATTGTACATGAAGACAGACCTAATTCCTAATTACATTGGGTTTTACAGGATTCGTCTTGATTGGTTCTCCTATAATCTGGTTACATCTCATTACCACTAAATCCTAGGTCATTCCTTAGGCACTAGTTATAAGAGAGGATTATACCAGGAATTGTAACTAGGATCCTAAGTCATATTGTAACCTGGAATTACAACTAACCTTACATTATTCCCTGATTCCATTAGAGTTGACTTAGAGATTACCATTACGAACCACCTAGAATAATAGTTGACTCTGTGCGACAAAAACAAGGTCCTCTGAGATGATAAGTTTCTACCATTAGACATGACCTAAAAGATACCATTGAAGGTGACCTAAAATAATAGGTGTAAGGGTGTGGTAAGTCCTAGTTGTAATCCTGTGACTGTAACCCGAGTTGCACGACCTGGAAATCATCTCAACCTCTGAATACTAAGGCAGTAAGGTAACGAGTAGTCTAAATCCAAGCATGCACACGTAGGAGTCTAGCTACTTGCTTCTTGGGCTCCCCGAGCCCTCAAATATCCGAGCAGCGCGGACGATCTTGAGCGCATTGATAACCACATCTATCGCAAAACTCCTGGAAGAAAAGATGCGGTTTGGGGTTTAGGGCTTAGGGGTATAAGTGCACAAGGCTTCGGAAGAGAGCTTCCACAACATAGTCTCAAGGCTTTACCAACGACTTGCGAAGCCTTCCATGCTCCTGACCCTCCACGTAGTTCCTCTCTGAACTCCAATGCGTGATAGTGTATGTGAGTAGATGTATGCCAATGTATGCACCATCGATGTACACATGTGCATCTGTGTGATAACATACCCTCATCCATGCATCCACACGTCCACGCATATCCATCCATTGATCCATGCATCCGTCCATGCATGTTACGTACAGACAGACAGACAGACAGACAGACAGACAGACAGACAGACAGACAGACAGACAGACAGACAGACAGCGAGCCAGCCAAACAGGCAGACAGACAAACAGACAGCACGACACACAGACAGATGAACACATATTCATGCATACGCACATAGATGCACAACATCATACCTACATGCGCGAGTGCATACATTATGATTACACAGGCAGGCACATAGACAGAAGACATACAAACATACGGACACGCGCGCAGGCCTCTACACGCACTTACGTATGTTTGTAGATGCAACACATACATATATAAATATGTAAAAATAAAGATATGTGAATACATCTTCACGTACATATATACTGCGCCGGGCCGAAATTCGACCCATTAGCTTGAACATGCTGGAGCAGCCTACTCCACCGGGGCGTCCTCCGCAGCTGCAACGTACTGTAGTTGTTAAATGGAGTAGCAAATATTCTGCTAGCCTGCGTAGCAAACGACACTTTGAGACACTCCGCTACTCCGCAAGAGTCTGCAATGCCAGATAATCACCTAAACCCTAAACCCTAAGCCCCAAGCCCTTTGTATTTATTAATACTTTTTGTAGCTCGAGACTTTTGGCCCGGGATGTACACATGCATATACACACACGTCCACATACACATATACGTGCATGCATGCTAGTATTTACATACATGTAGACATCTATATACATACACACATACATAAATACATACATACATACATACATACATACATACATACATGCACGCAGACGTCCATGCATGTGCACATGTTTATGTAGACTCGTGCGTGTGTAACTATCTGGGCAATCAACAAGATTTAGACGAACAGCAAACAAAACAGTATATACAACCACATATGTTATACAACCACATACATCTGTTTGGCCTTGGGATTTCATTTCCTGCTCACAGTGAATGTGTGCATGTGCTCCTCAGTGTGTGTGTGTGTGTGTGCCAGTAACCATCTCTGTCTCTCTCTCTCACTCTCTCTCTCTCTCTCTCTCTCTCTCTCTCTCCCCGACTCGCATGAATGGCATCGTTAGAAGTCTCCTAAAGTCAGCTTGCTAAGCACGACACTTCGCCAAGCGGCAGGAGCTTCTCGAGAAGTTCAAGTACGAACTTGATAGACGCTTTGCCCACTGACCTCGGCAAAGTAATTAACCAGTCATGCCCAAAAACTACCCGAATTCCTCTGCTGAAACCACAAGCCCTGCTGACGGCTGACTGGCAATGAAGTTTGACTAGCTAGCAATGCTGCTAGCAATACTAGATGCCCCGGTGGCAGTCACTCTGCTCGTTTCTATTATAGTCCAGGCATGTCCACGCCATATTGCAGCAACATCAGCGATGTGCACGTCTGCCATGTCTACAACTCGCCTCGGCCCCGGCCGAAGCGGTC